TATTATGTGTTTAAAATTTTTGGGTTTCGAGTTGGATATTAGAAGTAGAGCAGATTTTGAGTCTGAAAATATCACTGATTTCAATAATTTATTATTCTGAATATATTTTAACCCTTGTTTTATTGCAAAAAGTTCCGCTTCTATTATTTAAGTATTGCTCAGTAATTCCCCTTTTTGTTTTTCTTGAATGTAAATTGCTGAAGTAGAGTTAATACTGCTTATTTTTGAACCATCTGAAAATAGTTTTTTATAATTTAGGTATTTTGTGTTTTCTATCATTGCATAATGTGATTTTATTATTTGCTCTAGTTGATTTTTTTTCTTGATAGTCCAAAAATGTTGAATTTATATTTTCAAAAATGGCGTACCATGGTGGAATGGGAGTTATATTTGGGAATGCTTTTATTTTTATATTTATTTGTAATTCCTTACAAGTTTCCATGACTCTGTGTATTAAGCTTCTTTTGTCTTTTATGGGGTTGTATTCTTTTATATTTATCAGTTTTTTTTATTCAAGTATTTTCTGTTTTTTTTTTCTAGTATTTTTAACATTTGAGTTAATTCTTGTTAATTTTTGGTTTAATATAGATGTCATAAAACTTTATCATCGTTTCTCTATTAGCTCCCCATGTAGTACTTGATAGTTTTTTCATTATATTTATTCTATTTGAACATTTTATTTTTAAGTTATTGATGTGGTTTCTCCATGTTAGTTTTGGAGCGTCAAATTCCAGTCCTAATATTTTATGTTTGGTCGTAAATTTTAGTTCTTCATTATTTATCTTTATTGTTGGTATCTGTCTTATTTTGTTTTTTTTTTTTGTGAAGCACATTATTTTACTTTTAGTTAGATTTATTTTTATTTCCCAATTATTAGCCCATTCAATGATTTGTTTTAAACCTATTTCTATGTTATTTTTGGCTTCTGCTAGGTCATTGTGAGATGTTAATACTGTGATATCGTCTGCATATATTACTTTAAATGTTTTTTCTGTTATCATTAGGTCGGTAGTCATTATGTTGAATAGTAGGGGACTTAAAGGGGAGCCTTGTGGTAGTCCTCTCTTTGTTTTACCTTCTTCTGATATTTTGTTGCCTATTGTTATTTGATATGTTCTGTTATTTAAACAATTGTATATCCATTTAAGTGGGGTGCCTATTATTCCAAGTTTTGACGCTTTTTTTATGATGGCTTCATGGTTTACTGTATCAAATGCTTTTTCTAAGTCTAAACACGCTATTATTGCAATTTTTTTCTTTGAAGGTTTTGTTAATATGTAAATCTATTATTTGCAGAGTATCTATTGTGGAATAGTTTGGTCTAAATCCTGTCAGGTCTTGGCTTAATTCATTATTACTTTCCAACCACCATTTCAGTCTATTATTTATCATACTTTCATATATTTTTCCTAGGCTTGAAATCCTGCTTATAAATCTATAGGATTTTATATCTGTTGGATTTTTTCCTGGTTTTAGTATAGGGTTAACTAATGATTTTTTGAATTCTTGGGGATATTCCCCTTTTCCCCATAAGTTATTAATCAATTCTAAGATTTTTACTAGTATATGATTGGGGGCATTATTATAGAATTCATATGGGATTTTGTTAGGCCCATATGCTTTATCATTTTTTGCATTCTTTATTGTTATGGTTAATTCTTTTAATGTGTTTTTTATTTAAGCCTTCTGTACTTGTTTGTTCTGCCAAGCTTTTAAATTCTGTATTTGTTAACAAGCTTTTTGTATTTTTGTTTATTATACTCTGAAATTTTTCTTTTAGTAGTGTTAGTTTGTGTTCTGTATCTTGGACCAGTAGGTCATTATGAATCATTGGGTAATTATTGATTTTATTATTAACTTCTAGTTTTTTCAATAAAGTTCCATATTTTTCTTGTTGGGGTATTAAAATCTAGTGACTGACAGAAATCTGACCAATTTTTTCTTTTTTTAGTCTATTATTATTATTTTTTTTTTTTTTTTGCTATTATTTGGAATTTTTAATATTCTATTCTGTTTCATTCATTCAGATTTTTTCTCCATTTGTTGAAGGCTTTATTTCTTTGTTTTATTGCTTCTTTACATTTCTGATTCCACCATGGTTTTCTTGGCTTATTTTTATTTAAGATATCGTCTATCTTAAAATGGTTTTTCCCTATGTTAATCATTATTTCTGTTATCCCTTTTAATGATTTTATCTTTCTCATATCTATTTTTCGTATTTCTTCTTTATATGTTTCCCAACCTTCTATGCTAAATTCCCATTTTTTTTCTCTGTCTTGAGTTTCAACATTGTGTCTATTTTCTTTAATAATTATTGGAATATGATCACTTCCTCCATTGATATCTGTTTATACTTCTTGATGACTTAATTCTGGGGAAACTATGACTAAATCCATTGTGGATCCTTTGCCTGTTTTAGGGTCTATTCTCGTAATTTGACCTTTAGGAGTTAACAATATTAGGTTGTTTTGATTTAATAGATTGAATAGATTTATTCCAGTGGTGTTTGTTTTTTTTTATTCATCTTTGTGTTCCATAAGGGGAGGGCATTAAAATCACCTATTATCAGTTTTGGATCATTTATTTGATCAATAAAGTGTTCTAATTTTTGTTGATTTATATTATTGCAAAGGTTGTAAAGTAAAAGTAAATTTAACCATTTTCTTTTATAGCTGATTTAATAGATAGTATTTCTAATTTGCTATTTTGTAATTCGGGTAATTGTTGACGACCGCGACGCACCCTCGCAGAGACTAAGTCGAAAAATATGATGTTTTTCTGCATGAAATCCTATGATTTCATCGATTTTCGGCGTTGTTTCTTTTGCGAATGAATCGTTCAGGAGATCGAGTACCATTTCTCCATCGACGATCTTGATTTGATAGTCCCGTTAGCAGGGGAGGGCATGAAGTATATCAGGGAAATTATGGGGTAAAACAAGCTTAAATAAGAAGAATAACGATCAAAAATGCGTAAAACTAGCACAAAAAGCGCTTAAAATCGGCCAATGAAACTCGACGGATGTAACCGCCATCTTTGAAAGTTTACGGACTGACGCGAAATAAATCAAAAAATCTACGGGAACCCAACCCATATTTCGGCAAAAAAAATCTACGGGAATTCACACGTTCCAACCCCCAAAAACGTATTGACCAATAAACCAACCTAGTATATCAATATAAATTGCCGTGACTAGGCGTGCCCTTCGGGCACTGCCGAGGGGTGTGAGTGGGGGGCGCCCACCCCCCAACACATGCAGGCTCTGACATTTTTCACACATTCACACCGTAAATAATAAACCAAATACCTTTATATCCGGAAACGTGAAACGTTTTCTTTGTACTGTTGGGATTGCTTCGATTTTAATCACCTTTTTCGTCCTTTGGAGCTCTTGATGGGCTCAGATATAAAACTGGGATGGTTACTGAAGTCGAATTATTCTTCGATGCCACTGTAAAGGTCTTAAAAAAGAACCCAGAATCAACACAACACTGGAAACGCAACATTTCTCACCGGCTTTCAATCTCGAAATGAGCGGGTTGGTGAGCTGTCAACCTGTGGCTGGCGCAAGAAAGTGTGAAACACTCGATGCGCAGGATTCGATATGAGGGTATAGATAAATATAAAAATATGCAATTGAAGTATAATAACATTACTAAAAGACTTTAAAGGTATAAATGCGTACCAGCAGACACAGATAATTAGCCAAATATCGTTTTGACAAGCGCGTAATGATACACGGACTAGTTCGCGAACGCAAAACTGCGTTCGTGGGTCAGTGTCGTGTTTTTCCTAGCAAGGTAAACAAGCTCATCGACTTTGAATTTGAAAGGCGGCCGCGCGTTATATTTTCCTCATTTAGCGGTGACTATAAGGCCGGTGCATCTTAAACTATACGCTATCCCCCTATTTTTTTCCCGCTCTATAAGATGGCGGTGTCCCTTTTCCTCTATCTACGCGCGTCGCGGTCTTCAACCTCTACCGTAATTCGTTCAGATTTAATTTTTTATGTTGTATACTGTTTTGTATACAAATAGCAAGGCCTCCTCCTCTTTGTTCTGTTCTATCCTTTCTTAATGTATCATAATTCTTTAATTTGAAATTATATTTTTTTATTAGCCATGTTTCGCAAACTGCGAATATCTCTGGATTTTCTTTGTATATTAGATAATCTATATCTATTTTTTTGTTTCTTATGGATCTGGCATTTCAGAGAAGTATTTTATTCATTGAACCATTCAAGTATTTCTTTTAGTATAGGGGTAGCTTCTGTTAACATATCTGTAATTATTTCAATTATTGATTTGTCAGATTTTAAATATTCTATTATATTTGAAATTAATATTTCTTTTGTAATTTCTATCCAACACCTCTTTTTCCCATCTTTGCTTTTCCTTTCTTTTGTTATTGTAGTCTTCTGTAGTAGTGTAGGAAGTGACCATGTAACTGGGGACTTTACAAGTTCCTTGTCTTTTGAGTTTTGTTCCTGTGTATGTTTGTTCTTTTATTTTTTCTTGATTGTTTTTTTGTTTTGGTTTCACTGATGTGTTTGGAGTATTTCCTGTTCTGTTTGTGTTGTTTTTTTGATTTTGTAGGTGTTTTCTGTGCTGGTGTTATGTGGTTTGTTTGTGTTAATATTTGAGTGAATGTTTGTGTTGTGTTTGGATTTGATTGTTGTATGGTGTTCATGTTGTCATCTGTATGTTGGATATGTTCTGTATCAGTGTTGTGTATCTCAGCTGTGGTAATTATTATGTTTTTCTGAATTGTTTGAATTGTTTTTCGTGTTTTTAGGGTTTAATTGGTGGAAGAGTTTCTTAACCTCTAAGTTGTTAGGTGTTATATTTTTTTTTTTATGTCTTGTGCTTTTAAATGTGTAGGGCATGTTCTATCATAAGATTACCTTCACAGAAAAAGCAATGTGAGGAGTTTTTAGTCTTTAAATTTATGTCCTATTTGGCTACAATTGCTGCATCTTGTTTTATTTTTACACAAGATAATCCCATGGCCATACATTAGACACATGACATTTTGATATAGGAAAAGTAACATTTGATATTTTTGTGTGGCTCATATGACCTATAGCTATTTTACTGGAGGTGGAGTGAAATTTATTTCTCTTAAAGAAGATTTTGTCCGTGTTTTACCCCGGTCCGGTACCTCATTGTGTTTTATTTATTATTCATCAAATTTCTTCTATTTGGGTATCTTGTCCCCATAATACTTAAATTTTGTCTTTGATTTCTTTTATGTCATATTGGTCCATAAGTACAACCTTGATTTTTATTTGATGTTGGTTGTTTGCAGGGTATTCCCCTGTTACCCAAATGTTTTATTTTTTTCAGAAGTCCTAATTTGTTCAAATCAATCACTTCAAATCTTATGGCTTTGCCGTCTCCTAATATTCTTAGTGATTTTTCAATTATATATTTTTGAAAAACTGATTTATTTATAGCTTCTGTTAATCTGATTCGGATGATTGAAGCTTGAGGTGATTTGATTGATTTTGTTAAACTGGATAAGAACTACATTTTCTTGAGGAGTACCTTGAGTTACTGATGCTTGTGTACGATGTTCCGTGGATTGTCTGCCGGTTCTTTCTCGTTCGTGATTGTTTGGAGTACGGGTAATCTTCAATGTCACTATCTCTCCGTCTGCTGTTTTTGTGGTGTTCGTAATTCATTACATTTCTTTCTCCAGATTCATCACCTGGGTCTAGATCTAACCTTGAGATCATAAGCTTTCTCTTCACTGAGTTCTATAAAACGTTAGGCATCGTTTACTATCCGCTCCGTTTAATGTTTTCTCTACGGGTGTCTCGACCGGTTCTCTTCCAAGTGAACATTGACTTTGTCTCGCTGTCTTTGTTGTCGTTCGCGTAGGTGAATCCGGATCGACTCATTCCCATACTCTGGAAAAACGATAAGAGAAAACGTAAAAGGATAGACATTCGTATTCGTATTATTTATCCTTATTATGACGTGTATGTTATCTGACTTTTAATTTCATTGTTATGTGACTTAAAAAAAAAAAAAAAAACTAATAAAAAACGACGCAAAACTAACCCCCCCCATAAATGCTTATTCTTTATATAGAAGAAGCAATGTTTTACTTTATCAAAAATAATGACGCCATACATACGTACAACTATATATTTATATGTTTATATATGCATATATTATTTATATATGTAATATGTATGTAATGTGTGTGTGTGTGTGTGTGTGTGTGTGTGTGTGTGTGTGTGTGTGTGTGTGGTGTGTGTGTGTGTATGTGTGTGTGTGTCTGTATGTGTGTATGTGTTGTGTGTGTGGCTGTATGTGTGTGTGTGTGTGTTGTGTGTGTGTGTGTGTGTGTGTGTGGTGTGTGTGTGTGGTGTGTGGTGTGTGTGGTGTGTGTGTTGTGTGTGTATATATATATATATATATATATATATTATATATATATAATGATATATTATATATATGTATATATATATATATATATATATATATATATATATATTATATATATATATATACACACACACACATATACACTGATAGATAGATAGAAATATAGATAGACACACAAACACACACACAGATGGGCATTATTGGGATACATATATCGGCGATACGTATCAATCGATACTTTTGTATTGGTATCGGTTTCCAAGGTGTATAAAAGTACAGACCTTATCGGTTTCGCCTTTGCCACTCAATAAGAGTATCGCTTTATCGCAAGGGCATTTTCCTCAACATGTATCTAAAATAATCGAAAAATCGTTACTTCGATACATTCTCTCTCACTCTCTTCCTCTCTCTCTCTCGATAAATCGTTATTACGATACATTCTACTCTCTCTCTCTCTCGCGCTTTCTCTCGCCTTCTCTCGCCTTCTCTCGCTTTCTCTCTCTTTCTCTCTCTGTATGTCTGTCTGTCTGTCTGTCTGTCTGTCTCTCTCTCTCTCTCTCGCAAGTTGGACTAGCAATCTTGCAGACCTGCTTTCAATCCCACGCTACAAGGAAACGGCTTCCCCGGCTCTGCTGTCCCTGAGGAAATCTTTGAAGACGACAACTTATACATTCCCGAGTACGCCACAAACACTCACCCAGAGCCTCATTCTTCCTCACAACACCGACACCTCGTGTTGCAACCTCAGCCACAACAAAAACACAAAGAACGCAATTCTACAAATGCCACTGATCGGAAACGCAAACAAATTTCACCACCAACCACGCACTCCAAAAGAGACAAGGAGGATCCCCCGATTCCTCAACCTCGTTGTCACAGGTTGGAACCTTGATGACGACAGTAGCGACTCCAATATCGATGTCGAGAGCGTCCTCCAGGCCGAGGTAGAACTCCCGGCCCCCCTGGGTGGAGCCGTTGCCGCGCTCCCCGCCAGGGAGCCCCTGGGACACACACACACACACACACACATATATATAATATATAAATATATATATAATATATATATATATATATATATTATACATATAAAATAAATATATATATA